ACCCCCGAAACGGCCGGTCGGCGGTACCAAAGGGGCCGCCGGAAGTCCAGAAATGGCTGCCGGCAGCCGTTTTCGCACCCTGCCCTCGCTTAGCGAAGGCGCGAAAATGGCTGCCGGCACCTGGAATCCTCGCTGAACGGGTAAGTAACAAAGGTATTGGAACGCATTAAACAAAGTTTAATGCGTTCCAATACATTTCCCCTACCCGTTTAGCGATGATTCCGTATAGCGAGGGTTAATCCGGAACAGATTAACCTCGCTATACGGGGCACCACTGTAGATTGTAGCATTATGTTTGCCAGTTACATTTACCTCCAAATTATACTTCCCAGCCAAAGTTAGGAATGGTTTGCAAGCTGTGGTTTAATTATGTCTGGTCTGCTGAACCTGTGGTCTTTCAGAATAATAAACAGTTCAGAGGAGATGACCATTTAGGCAATATATCACAGTGAGTTAGAAAATATGAAGGCCTTACTCTTTAAAATTGTGAAATAAGCATATTTCAGTGCCATTTACCATAATCAATATTGCCACTTTAAGTTGCCTGCCTCGAAATTGTAATGTTATTGAACTGCTTTACTGCCTTTATGTTAGGATAGGTACTTATCAAATTGCCATTGCGTTATGTTGCAATAGTAAGCATTTCATGCTGCTTTTGCTACTGTATAGTTTTTAGATTATGCTTTTGCTTTCTTGATGACATACGAGTCTTCCAAACATTTATAACAGTGTCCATACTCATTTTGTATCTTGGTCTTTGCCCCTCTTCTCAAGTCACCACCCTCCTCTCAAATAATCTTCCATCTTGAAATGCTTTTTTAAAAGGGAAAAATGTCTGATTTGTGATGTATTTTTCAAAACTTTCTATTTCCACATTATCCATTGAGTTGTCACCATTTCTCTTCCTGTTTACTGTATTTCCTCCTTATCCAAATCAATCTACATTTTCTGTCTAAAGGTTATGAATTTTTACCAACAGATCTTAAGTAAATACAGAGTATTTTCCATAACAGTTCTCAAACTGTGTTTAGTAAACAATGTTCAGCAAGTTGAAATAATTCTATATTCACACTGAATGTGTTCCTTTAGGAATGTTGTGTGCTTATTTTAGGGGTGTTAGGTTTTCATCCAGTGAAAAATAGATACAGGAAATTAATTCTTGGACTTTGCTGAGAACTTTCCTAAAATAACATAGTTTTGTTTTTAAGCAAGATTTTTTTTGAATGCTTAAGCTGTTGATGATAACTTCATGTGAGAAATATAGGTGATAAACCTTATCAGGAGCTTTCTGTCTCTGATTCTTATGTGTAAATATTTTGGTGAACTTTTGTTTACATAAAACTGGCAAAGATCTTGATGATTTTTCATTCATACGCCCAGAATCAAATGGGTATTTCGAATGTTGTTTCATCACGGAATTTAAAGTTTAAATCAATCATTTCATAGCACTTCAGCAAATCAATGCAACAAACAAAAGTTAAAAAGTGCTCCAGACCTCTCCTGTTCATTTCTGTATTTAAGATTATTTCAGTTTACACTGTTTACAATAAATCAGATTAAGTTTATCTTCTTCCTGAAACCATCGAACTCGTTCTATTTAAAAAAATCATGGAAGTAAACACAACAATATTTTTTCTAATAGTTTCATGTCTTCTCAATACCGTAATTGATAATAAAAAGTGAGGAAAAATATAGCATTGTTTTATTTTAACGAGTATATGGGCTTGCATATTTAGGCTAATACTGACTGTAGTGATGTTGATGTTGGTATCATCTTTTTTTCTTTTTCCTTCAAGTATTTTGCATTACAGTAGTTGGTTTTATCTGTATATGCAACTGCTAGTACTAGACACCATTTTGTGTTCTTCCTTTCTTATACTCTACCATAAAATACTCTTGCAATTAGGAGTGTGCCATTCATATATCAGAAATCTTCATTTTGGTAGTTTCAGCTGCCAGACTCACTCCTCAATTCTGTTCAGCTGGACTGTGCTGGAAATCTTCATAGCCTAGGATAGGCTGAGCTGCAGTCTAGCTGCTTCTTAGAAACAGAATTTGCACTGGTGAGCAGAGATAGTAACTTGGTTATGTCATTTTTCATAGGTGCCTGGATCAGGTGACTTATTTTACCAATGAACTTATATGATCTCAGAGAAGTAATTAAATAAGATAATTAATATTCATTTAATAAAGTAATTCTCCAATTCTGTAATAATCCCTTATTACATCACATTTTGCTAATACTGTAGTTTAGAAATGAATGACATGAACTTTTTATACATGTCTGGCTCTAATGGCTAAATTCACAAATGTGCCAGTTTTGCAGTGTCTTTGTGAGAGGTTAGTGATCCATATTAGGCACTATTCTCTAGCTGTTATGTAGATTTATCCATGTTTATTCATTGTTAATGTTATTGGAGGCAAAACAATATATTCTTTGGTTACTTCTATGCTTTCCATCTTCTTTTCTATGATAAAATGACTATTTAGCAAATGAGTTCAAATAATGTAAAAGCCTGATGCTTTTTCTGCTTTGGCCAGGCAGTTTTCTCTTCTCCACATAACTTTGGGATGCATGTTTTGTCAGTGTTCTAAGAAGTGTGTTTCTTTTTAGGCTTATAGAATTCTGCACAAAGCTATACAGACAACTTTGAAATAAATTGACTAAGATGTGCAAATATTCCAGAAATATTTGTTTCTCTAATTTATACATTTTTTCATACAGACTTTACATGGTCTTCTGTATTTCGCTGTGTCTGTGTTTTCTCTCACATTTGTTCATTTTCAATTTAAGAAACTGAAGAATTTTACACTCATTAATCTTGTTAATTTCCTTGTTATAGTTGAACTGATGCATACATTTTGTTACAGATTAAATAAACATTTATATTGTTAACATAATCAGTACAGTTTGCTGCTCATTATTTAAAGAGATGGTTCATGGAAGTCAGAGGAACAAAAGAGGAAATTCACAATTATTTACTGAAACATTCTAAGAAGCAATACAAATATGTGAAGTCACATTAGCTTTCATGATTGATTTTTAACCACTAGAAACAGCAATTTAGTGTTTATGTAGATCTCAAAGTATAGGACATAGGAAATATTCTTTCTATTAAAGAAAAAGAAAAATTTAGAATTGCTGTCCTTGTAATGCCGAAATGGTGTTGCCTGTCTGTAGTATCATAGTGAAATATCAGACTTTGTACTGTGGAGATTTACTTTTCCCTGTTAGAAAGCAATGTCTAATATCCAACTTTGGCATATATTTTGAATTCTTTGGATGGAATCCTTTTAGTGTTCACATAAGATTTTCATAATCTGCCATGGCTAATTGTAGCTAATTGACAAGGTGCCAATCTCAGCTGCACAATAGAGCGCATGACCAGGCATGCAACCGAGATATGAACTGTCAGTTAGGCACAATTAGCCACAGCAAGTTACACAAACCTTGCATGATAACCAACAAGATTTTGACCTTTTCCTGTGGTTTAAATGAATTTCCAGAATACAGTGGTGCCTCGCTTAACGGGTGCTCCGTTTAGCGACGAAACCACATAGCGATTAATTTTTTGCGATCGCAATGCGATGTTTCCTATGCGGTTTTATCGCTTTGCGATGATCGGTTCCCTGTTTCGCTTACCGATCATCGCAAAGCGATGATTTTTAAACAGCTGATCTGCGGTTCCCAAATGGCCACCGGGTTAAAAAATGGCCACCCGCTGTGTTTTTGCGCCGATTCCTCGCATAAGAGGCAGCGAAAATGGCCACTGTATGGAGGATCTTCGCTTTAAGGTCAGTTTTTTTGCCCATAGGAACGCATTAAACAGGTTTTAATGCGTTTCTATGGGCTTTTTTAAATCACATAGCGACAAAATCGCTTAGCAGCTATTTTTGTTGCATGGATGAACGTCGCTATGTGAGGCACCACTGTAGTATCTATTTCCCTTTAATGAGTACAGAGATATTTTAAATTCCTGCTGAATGCACTAATAAAAAGGAAGATCTTTATAATGTTCAGAGGAGTGCTACAGGCTTTTAAAAAGTATGTAATGATGGGTTCCCCAGTCAGGGCAATTCACATGGTAAGTCAGACTTTTAAACTGTTGTGTAATTGCCCAGGAACCATGTTTTTTCAGTAAGTACAGCTGGACGGGCTCTTTTTTAAATCCAGAGTTAAGACATTCTTTGTTTTTACACTTCTAGGAAGCATTAAGACTTCAGCAAGATGTGAGGAAGAAAAAGCAAGAAATCTTAGAAAAGCACATTGAGACACAAAAGGTAATGTGTGCATTACTATGATTAGACTATTACTGAGGAACAGTATTCCACTATAATGTATTTTAAGATAAAGTGCTTGTTATATTACAACAGGATTCTGTGTTATAGGAGCAATTAAATAGAATTTAAGACACAAACAGTATTTTCAGTTTACAGTGTTTTTAGGATCCAACTGAAGTTTATGAACCTTGGTTTGGTTTGGTTTGCTCTATTTAAGTGGGACTCGTAACAAAAATTTCTTCCAGATGTTGCAAGGATCCTCTGAAATTCATTAGTGTAAATGTGAGGCAGGGTGTTGTTGGTGGGTTGTTTTTTGTTAGGTTTTTTTTTAAATTAACAATTTCTGATTCCTACATGTACACATCCAAAGGTCCTGTGGCTCCCATGGGGATCAATTTTGTCTTGGACTGCAGGAGTGGAGGTGTGTGGGAGTCTTTAATTTCCCAAAATTACAACTGACTGTGAAGTCATCCAAGTGATAATTATTTTTTTAAAATTAAAGATCTGCCCATCTCCATCCTGTGGTTCTCAACAGCTTGCCCAGATGAAAGAGATTCCCAGCAGACCTGGGGGCAGGGGATCAGAAATGTTTAATTGCTAAAAAGCTGCTGTGGCTGATGATATCACCAGCTTTACTCGACATCAGAAGCACTGTTGGACTTCAGCTACTATGTGATACAGTGGTGCCCCGCATAGTGATGTTAATCCGTTCCAGGATTAACATTGCTATGTGGATTCATCACTATGTGGGGGGGATCCCCATAGGAACGCATTAAAACTGGTTTAATGCGTTCCTATTGGGGCGAAAACTCACCGCTGTGCGGGGAATCCTCGATCCGGCCGCCATTTTCGCTGCCCGGTAAGCGAGGGCAGGGTGCGAAAACGCTGCGGGCGGCCATTTTGCGGATGTGGCGGCCATTTTGGACCCGCGGATCAGCTGTTTAAAAAACATCGCAATGCGGAGATCGGTAAGCGAAACGCTTACCGATCATTGCAATGTGATGTTTTCCCTATTAAAACATCGCAATGCGATTGCATTAGCGATCGCAAAAAACACATCGCTATGCGAATTCATCGTTAAACGGTGCGCTCGTTAAGCGAGGCACCACTGTACAGTACACGGCAAAACAGGGAGAAAGAAAAATTGGCAAAAATAGCCTTTCCTTTCCATGCATGGGGCCCGCCACTAAATTAAAATTTGTACTGTGAATAAGGAGGACTCATTCTGTGAAAGATAATACAGCATTCACATTTAACACATAGAAAAACAGATTCCAGATGCTCACTGGAAGGACTTCATACTATTCATTTTATCCTCATGGCTGGTTTTATTGTCAAGCAAGCCCTTTAACAAAGTTTTTAAGTGCACATAGTTATATTTTCTTTAAGTGTAGTTATAGAGATGTGTGGTACAAATTCAGATCTGACCAGCAGCATCCTGCCTACCAAATGTTTTCCTGAGCTGTTCCAGTCCTTTTTTCCTGGGTTTTCACAAAATAAAAAAATATAGCCTTTTATTTTATTCCTGCCCCATATTTTCACCATGGGATATCACTCAGCTTGCATACATTATGAAAAACAAACCGAATAAAGCCATGAAAATATTCGTTATCATCAATTCATAAACATTAATAAAATAGTTAATAAACATCAATTTAAAAGGCCAGTTTGAAATGTTCCTTCACCTCCTTCCTCAAAAAAGTGAGAGAGTTTTGTAAATACTTACAGAAATACTGCAAAAACAAGTGGTTAGATGTTGTAACAGAGAGTTCTCAGTCACTGTCTTTATTCATACTGGGCTCAGTGGCTCTCCTGTGGCCCTTATACTTGAACACGAGATATACTCTCCTTCCCTGATTTCATTTCAGCTCTGTCACTGGATTTTGTTACTCCCTGTTCAGGCGTTTAGCAGCTCTGTGTAGTACCCAGGTCTGTGGGAATTCTTAATTAAAAATTGAGTGGTCAGAAAGTGGACTTAACATATTTGGGGCAGAAGAACATGGTATTTATATTTTAAAGATCACAAGTACTATTCCTGTAGAGGATTCCTATTATTAATCAGTGCAATTTTGATAGATGCTGATTTCAAAGCTGGAGAAAAATAAAACTATGAAGTCAGAGGACAAAGCTGAAATTATGAAAACTCTGGAAACTTTGACTAACAGTATCACCAAGTTAAAGGATGAATTGAAAGGAGTCTGTTCCCCAGCAAGTGCACCACTGAAAAACATGAAAACGAAAACACAGGTATTTGGATTTCTTTACCTTCCAAATCTTTTTTCTTCATGTGGATTAATTCTTTTAAAATGTAAACAAAGTGGTAAGCAAATTTCCCAACAAAATTATGTCTTACTCTTTCTTCCATGAATCTTAGCACAACTTACATTAAATTATCCATTTCCCCCCCTAAGCTATCCCAAAATATAGCTTAGGTGAAGAGATAGTGATCTTTGTGATCTAAGAAGGCTCTGAACCTTTATCTTTCTCAACTAGATCCAGGTCTTTATATCCGTTGTTGGCTGGAGTGATGAATTGGAATCTAATGCATGTAAAAGGGTGGGGAAATTTTTACTATTCCATCACGATCATGACAGACATGTGGGTTATGTTGCATCCTAAGGAGGTTCTCATAACCTCCTTTTTCTTTTTCCCCCCTTTTTCTTTCCTTTTTCTTTATTTTTTGTCTTGTCTTTTCTAGCAGAGACCAGATCACATAGTTTATAAAAGAAACCAGCTTTATACTTCTAATTTCTGACATATTCCCTTCATGGTCAAGCCCAGCTCTTACTTTTCCACCTAAGAAACAACTTGAGTCCAACTTCATTATCAGTCTTCCTTCACTTACAAATCAGCTAATATCTGTTTTGAGGATTCCCTCCTTGGGAGACTTCCAGGGAGGTTGTTTAATGACAAATTTCTTTACATTAGTTAATGCATATTAAATTGAGTCACTGATTCCTTAGATGCAAAAAGAGCTACTGGATACTGAATTGGACTTATATAAGAAGATGCAGGCTGGCGAAGAAGTCACTGAACTAAGAAGGAAATACACAGAACTGCAGCTTGAAGTAAGTGTATTTCTGTTTTGATGGTAAATGCTATTTTTTGTATTTTACTTCATATTAGTTATTTGCAATCACCTTCTGCTAAAAGGTGCCATATGGAAGAGGATTAAAGCAAACAGCATGAAACAGTATGTGCCATCAAGTCCCATCCAACCTATAGTGATCCTAATATGGGTTTTCAGTGTACATTAAATATTTAAGGAGTGATTTACCAGTGCCACACCCCCTCCCCCCAATGAGTTTCCATGGTGAGCAGGGATCCGAACCAGGTCTCATAGTCTTATCATTCCATCTTCTACATCACACTGTGTTCACATAACTGAGTTATATCCCGTTAAGTAGAGGTAATTAGACACAAGTTACTTAGACATCAATAGAATTTTGACTGTTTTATTTTAAAACAAGCTAGTGAGTCTCTTCTCATAAAATAAAGACATCATTGTGCTCTCCATTTATATTTGTTTACCTTTTAGGAGGTGAGGGGAACCCATCCAGTAAAGCTTTGTGAGTGATGTACTTTTTTAAAGTGAACCTATAGATGGCACTGTTGCTGTTCAGAACTTGAAATCGTTTGTTGAAAATGTGTCCTCCCAAAGTGTTCTTGCCTTTAAAGAAGTGTAGGCATACTAACAATAATATATTAACCAAATATATTAACCCAGATGGCTCCATGGTGATAATAGTTCCACGAAAAGACCATCGTTTAGTGGTAGAGTTCATGCCTTGCATATAGACGTTTTCAGATTCAATTTCTGACATCTTCAGCAGGATTAGGAGATTCCTGCCTGAATTGTCAACAGTACTGTACAAGATAAGCCAATGGTCTAAATCTATGTAAGGTAGCTTCTTATGTAGAATTATTAAACTGTATAGCAGAAAGTGATGCGAATGTTACTAGTATTCTTTTATATTTCCTTTCTTCCCATATCTAGACTTCATACAATGTTGTCCCAATAGATAAACAAATAAAAAGTAGACAGTGAACTTTTTCACTATATTTTCCAGCTACCTTGTATCTTTTACTTAGTATAGCATACATACAATATAGTACAGTGGCTGAAATCCTGTTATGTTATGCTGGCATAATATTATCAGTTTATATATTCAGCAGCAGAATTAGTGCATGCTAAGAGAGCGTAGGCATTCATTATTACATTGTGACCTGCCCAGTTTTGTGTGCAATAGCAAATGCCTATACTCTCTTCTTAACCTGCAGCAGGCTGTTCTGGAGATTTGTGCTGATTACATTACGTCAGTGGGTGTAACTAATAGGAGTTTGACTAGTGCTTCCTCAAGACAAGACACTGGGATTCAGTATCCCAAAGAAGAGAAGAGAGGATTATTGAATAGACAGTGGTATGCATTTGCTATTCAAAGGGTAAAAAGACATTGTCCTTGAAGACAATGAATCCTTTCTGTGTTCACTAGCATTTCCATGAATTTACTGTGGATGTCTCTGTTTTATTTTGTGCTCTTTAAAAACAACTGGCAACTAAAGAATTAAGCTCTAAATTGGAGAATCTCTTCTTCAGATCTCACTCTAAGAACACTCTAGGTAGGTTTACTCAGCCTTTCTCTGCTCAGATATGCAGTGTCAGGAACAATAGTAAGATCACTTAGAAAGGTAGAAGATTTACAGAACTATAATGAGAAGCACTTGGGCCCATGTGAATAATAACCATTGTTGTTACTTGTTAGGCCGCAAAGCGAGGAATTCTTTCCTCAAGTCGTGGGAGAGGAATTCACACACGAGGTCGCGGTGTATCTCGCGGGAGAGGCAGGGGAGTACGAGGCCGAGGTCGAGGAAGAGGTGTGTCTGTTCATGCTGTTGTGGATCACCGGCCTAGAGCACTTGAAATCTCTGCTTTTACAGAAAATGACCGAGAAGATCTCCTTCCTCACTTTGCGGTATGTACAAGCTCTCCTGTTCTTCCCTTCCTCCCACCCTTTTTTTTCTCTTCTGGTTGCTGAGTGAAATCCATCATTCAGCTGGTGGAATTTTCCCACCTTTTCCTCCCCCCACCTCACCAATCAAAACCCAAATTGGTTCTAGAGGGGTTTTTTTTAGCTATTCCGAGTTGGTTTTCAGGCGACACAGGGCTGAGTGGGGTTAGATCTTTGCACCTTTTTGAAGTCATCTGGATTCTACGAGTAGAAGAATGCTCAGGTAAAAAGTATTATAAGTCAAATCTATAAGGTTGCATTAGACAATCAAATGCCACACAAAGAATTCTCTAGAGATGGGAGTATTACAAGGAAGTGTTAAGCGATCATGATTCTGGCTCCTAAAACCGTAACTACAAGTTTGCTTTGATCCTTTTTTCAGAAAAGACAGCCAGCCATCATTATTCAAGGAGTCACAGCTAAGGAACATTTTGTGCATGGGAATTATTTCAATTGATGGGAAAGATTGTACACAGTTATTTGAAGTGTGTTGTAACTGTACCTGTGTATGTTCTCCACAGGAATAAGTTAGAAAGGCAGCATGGCTAGTCATTTCTTGACCTGTACAAAAATGTCTGATGGCTAGGTTTTGTTATTTGAGTTTATTTCAACATACTTCTTGTTAAAGCCAGTTTCATGTGACTTTTTCTGAAGACTGAAAATTACTAAGAACTGAACATTTTCCTTTGGATCAAAAGGCAAGCTCAAACAAAAGTTCCAGGTCCCTTCAGGCCAGCTAATAGATGAAATTGTTGGGCTACTCTTTGAAATGCTGTAAGTTTCATAATGAGGGCAGTAGTGTCTGTGACATTTTAAAAATTGAGAGTATGTGTTTTCCTAGCGATTTAAGTTTGTGTATTATTCCCTCCCTAACTTGTCTTTCGTCTGTGATTTCAATTTTGCTGGTTTAGTTTTATCCACAACCGCCACAGTGGGTTTGAGATCATTAGGTCACGTTGATAATCTAGGACTGTATTTGCATGATATAAGCCTTGACATTTGCTTGGAAAGGAATTGTTTCAACTAGTTGACAATGTCTTCCTCTTAAAAAGCAATATGGTGAAATTGAAGACTGCCAGATAGATGACTCATCTCTCCATGCGGTGATTACTTTCAAGACAAGAGCAGAAGCCGAAGCAGTAAGTATAACCAAATTATTTCATAGAGGCTTTTGTATCAGAGGAGATCACTGAATTTATCTTCATTTAAGTTTTATAAAGAGTTTTTGTATTTCATGTACTGGTAGTATTTCTGTTTTGTATTAACATACAGTTTTACCTAGCAGCCAAATAAAGAGTGAAAAGGAGATGTCTTTTCGAAATATTTTTGTACAGTAGGGCCCCCTTATCTGTGGAATCAGTATCCGCTGATTCACTCATTCACTGTCTGTAAATATTACACTAATTATTAAAAGTACTACAAGAAAAAATGCAGCAAAAAACTCACATGTTTTACCAGAATTGGCCATAGAGGGAGTTAGAGAGCATGCTTCTCTGGCTGCTTAAGGCTTCTTCTGCGAGCTTTCTCCTGGAGGTTCTGGAGCGGCTCCTCCTGACTGCCGGTTTGCCATAAAAAAAGTATCAGTGCTGAGCAATCTGAGCAGGAAGCGATACAAGGTATATCCAGCTGGCTTGCTTTGCATTGAGGCCTGAGACCACACTGGCAAGCTCAGCATATGAGTAAGCGACTTTCCCAAGGCGGCAGCAGCCTCTGCACTCTCCCCTCCCCTCGGCTGGCCATCAGGTTTGCATGGGTTGGGGGGCAGGACCTTTCCCCCTATATAGTACCTTCAGGATAGTTGGCAATGGTGTCTGGTTTGGGGAGGGAGATGTTCTCTACAGTCCACTTTTTTTTTAAGTTGGGGGGGCTTGGAACAAATCCCCTACAGATACGGGTCCTACTGTATTGTAATCTAAGCTATGATAGTAGAGGTAATGAGGATTTCTTTTCTGATTAATGAAAATACAATTTTTAACATTTCTTTAATAGTTTATGGGAACCTCAACATTGGGAAATACTGGCCTCTGTTATTATGTGGTAGTTCGCTGGAGTTTCTCTTGGCTTTGTTTTCTACTTCAGATTTTAGTTAAGGATAAAGAGTCAAGACAAAATATTCTTCATACCAGTGACAAGTTCTAGAAGGAGCTGTGGCATGGATCTCTTGTCAGATTGTTTTCCTGTTTATAAATGCTAGCCTTCTAAATTTGAATATCTGACTAGCTGCAGATTTTAATGATGAAACAAAAGTATTTTCTGATATATATATATTTTGCCCTAAAAATGACTTGTTTGGGAAGAATGAGAAACCAGAGATGAAGCTCAACAAGTATGAGTAACTGAAAAAGATTCCCTGCATATACACAATGAATTAAATAACACATATGAAGGACTGCCTCCTTCCATATGAACCTACCTGGCGGTTAAGATCTAGCCAGGGGGCCTTTTTGAAAGAGCCGTCCCTTAAGGAAGTAAGAGGGACGGCTTGTAGACAAAGGGCCTTTTCGGCAGCTGCCCCCAGACTATGGAATGCCCTCCCGACTGAGATTCGTCTGGCGCCGACGCTGATGACGTTTCGGTGCTAAGTCAAAACCTTCCTGTTCCAGAAGGCTTTTAACTGAAATAATATTAGCTGTGGGTCCGATGGCAATTTTTATATATATTTTAATTGTATTTTAATTGTTCTAAATTTTATTGTATTTTAAATGTTATAAGCCGCCCAGAGACCTTTGGGTAGTGTGGGCGGCATATAGATTAAATAAATAAATAAATATGCTTATGTCATGCATAAAGTGCATTTTGGTATACTTTCCTCAGAATTTTGAAGCTGTTTATTATCAGTGATTATCGATAATTTCTCAGCTAGAAGCAGAGCAGCCTGATGAAATTAACAGAAATAGAACATTTGCATGTATGTGTCTCCAAATTAAATTTTTGCTTGCTAGTAAATCAAACATAGTAATTGATAGCGAATGTTCATGTGTAAAGCACTTACAGCTTCATAAAAGCTTTTTATGAAAAAATAGTAGGTAATATTTTACTGCCTTGAATGAAAAAGGTTTAAGTTTTATGGTCATGTATATTTGAGCTCAGGAGGGGAGGAGGATTCCCTAGTCATAAACTGCTACATTTTTATGTTTCAGTAATTTCTTTCAAAAATTACAAGTTGTTTCTGAACTCAAGTGTCTCATATATGTATTCTTAAAAATGCCAATTTGTAACATTGTGATGAGACTACAGGCAAAAAAATCCTTTCCTGAGTTGCATTTTAATAAGCAGAGAATCTTTTAAAATTTATCATAAATTTATATGTACAGATCTAAAATTTATACCTGGGGACTTTAATATCACACAATTCATGTTCAGATGTCATTGAACATGTAATTGTTTCCACATTTCACATTATGCTGTAGTTTCAGATTGTACTATAAATCTTTTGTGACTGTGGCAGTTATTTCGGAATGTTGCTAACACTGATTTATGCTAGTTCATGTTACTTTAATTTGAACATACTATTTCCAAAGCAGCCACTTAATGCATGTGGTACTTAAAAAGGCATGAATATCCCATAGGTTAACTTTTTTACATTTCAATTACTAAGGTGTTACAGCAAATGGAATCCTTTTCAGAAGGAAAAAAATCACCAATATTTTTCCCCTTTTACCATCAACTTATTTTATTTCAGTATACTTTAGTCTAGGCAGTAATAATATATGATTTTTTTTTAAAAAAATCACTAGTTCAAAAGCAAAATACCTGTGTGGAGATTGCTTGGTAACAATTGTTCTGTGTATTTAGTTACCTCCTTCTTGAAACAATTTCATGATTTAAAATATTATTTTTCTTCATTTCATCAAGTATATTTGGTATAGAGGGGTATAGTCTTAAAAGAACAGAAATATTCATATGTACAAACTCTGAAATAGTGATTTGTGTTAGACACTACGTTTAAGGTTGCTTTTTGTAGTCACAGCAGAAAACATGCTCGTGACTGTCTTTAGAACTGAACACAATGATCCTTTAAGGTACTTAAATGTTCTCCAAGAATGCAGGCATCTATGGTGGCATTTTTATATATATTTCCTCTTTGAACAGGATACTCCAGTGCTACTTCAGCAGTTGATTTTAATAGTTTGCTTAGTTTACATGGAGTGGCAGCATAAGTCCAAAGGAGCCTTTGGACACGCAGAAACTGTAGGGATAGTTCTTTGGATCAACCTTGATTACACAGAACTTTCTCACTGTTAAACCGAGATATAGCCCTGGTACCTTTTTTTCATTGGGCTGTAGACTTTTTCTGAAGGAGTGTTCATGGAAAATGTTGTTACCCTTAGGCTGCTATCCACGGAGCTCGGTTCAAAGGGCAGGATCTGAAGTTGGCCTGGAACAAGCCTATCCCAAGCATGTCAGCAGTAGAAACAGAGGAGCCAGAACCAGATGAAGAGGAAGTGAGTGTGGTCTTTTTATCTTTCCTTGTGAGGAGGTGAAAGAATAGGAAAAAAAAATTAAGTGAACTTTTTTCTGCTCCTGTGGTCTTCTGTTTGTCAGGTGATGGTTTCATTATATTAATGCAGTCTGTGGTCCCCGTTACTTTATTTCATCAGGATGATGTTTTTCAGGAATGGAAGGAAGACATCCCAAAACATTTACAGAATATGTTACTTATAGTGTGATTTAGAATACAACCCATTGTAGAATTGGCAATTTATATATTTATTTCTGGCCTGCATTGAACTCCAATGTTGTCCAGTTGATCAGTGTAGGATAGTTTCACAAGCACAATTAGAGGTGGGCATTTGAGTGCAAATATAACATTATTTAAGTAGTAATGCAGAGAACCATTGGAAAGAAAATTCCCTGTTCTACAATTTTGTCTCCAGTATCTCCTATTCATTGGAAAACATTCAGTGTCTCCCATTATTCAAATATTAATTACATTTGTACCCTATCTTTCCTCAAGCAAGCTCAAAGGGGTTTGTGTAGTTCTCCTCCCCATTTTATCCTCACAATATTCCATTCTAACACTAATCACTATACCATACTGTCTCCCCATAATTGCTCTGTGACATTCATCACATTAGACAGAGGTTACTTCGCATGATTTGCTATTTTGGAAATTTAGAGAGTGTGACTTCCTCATGGCTAATCCAGAGTCCTTTATGGCTAAACAGAAGTTTGAACTTGGCCTTCTAAATCTACCTACTGCACAGAATTTGTGCTCTGAAGAAATAACATGCTCCTACAAATATCTTCATGTGAAACTGTTGCAAGTACAGTGGTGCCTCGGTTAGCGACGTTAATCCGTGCAGCAAAAATCGCTGCTAAGCGATTTCGTCACTAAGCGATTTTAAAAAGCCCATAGAAACACATTGAAACCCCTTCAATGCGTTCTGTGGGCTCGTAAACTAAGCTTAAGCGAAAATCCTCCATTGCGGCGGCCATTTTTGGTGCCTCTAAAGCAAGGCAACACAGCGGGTGGCCATTTTGGAACCACCAATCAGCTGGCCAAAAATGGGGCCTTTGCGATGATCTCTTCCCCTCGATCATTGCAAACGGCCCATTTTTGCCAGCTGATCAGCGGGGCATTTGCAATGATCGCGGGGAAGCGATCATCCCAAAGGCCCCCCCGATCAGCTGACTAAAATGGGGCGCCAGGGGTGGAGAGAGACGAAGCACAGCTGATCGGTGGAGCCTTTGGGATGATCGCTTCCCCGCGATCATTGCAAAGGCCCCACCGATCAGTTGGCGAAAATGGGGCGTTTGCGATGATCGCGGGGAAGTGATCCTCGCAAAATGAATTTTCCCCATAGGGGCCATCGCAAAGCGATTTCTTCATTAAACGGAGCAATCGCTATGCGAGGCATCACTGTAGTTGTTACACAGATTGTACCTTGCAGCATCTTTGTCCTTACTCTCCTGGAAGCCAAACCTTTCTCTCAGTTTACCAAGAGTCCTCTTGCCTTCACCTTCTCAAATTGTGCATTCATATTTTCTCATCATTTTAACACAGCACAAAATGTATTTTCAAATATTTTCTTCTTCTAGCTCATATTCATAAAAGTTGCTCTATTACTTAAGATGTGCTTCCTGTCCTACATGTTGTGGCCTTTCTCTGGTTTGCTTAGCTAGATTATATTTACATTCACTTCCACTATTACTGAACTAGTCCCCTCTTTTCTTCAGCAAATTCCCATACATAATGGATTTCCAATCAAAGTTCCCTCAAGCATTTTGCATTTCTTAAATGTCAGTTTTTTCTAAGATAAAATTCACTAAAGCATGCAGCACAGGCATCTTAGAAGTATTGAAATAGAGTATTTGTAATCACCAGGTCCCACATATATCAGCTGTAGAGTAAATTATGAGTGAGGACTTATATTGCTTTTACTATAAATTTTGTCAGAGTTGCTGTTCCAGCATCAGGACATTATTCTGTTATTTATGCTCTTTAGTTCTGACCTTTTTGTAAGCACCTTCTCGAGGACACATATTTCATTTATGAAAATTACTTTTGTAACTTTTCACGCAGAATTGATTATCTTTAGTTCTGAACTGGTAGTATATGTTAATTGCAGAAAAGTTGCATTTATTTAAAATCATTGTTAAAGTTATTTTCTTTTCATGATTAGATATGTCTTGTTGTAGTAGAAAACAACCCAAGCGTTTGTGTTTTCCTTTATTTATTCAGGCTCTGTCGTATCAAAAAAACCTCAGGACATATAGTAACAATTTTGTATTATTAGCGAGAGATTCATATGCAGCTTTAAAGTATAGATTTTTGCAAAACCAAAAATCATTAGACCATGTAAATCTTAGAAGTTTGTGGCTAAGTGAAAGCCAGTGTGGTATAGCCCATAGAATATTGGATTATGACTCAGGAGATCTGGATTCAGATTCTCACTCATCCATAAGACTCACTTGGTGACCATGGGCCTGTCACAGTTTCCCAATTTGATTGCCTCACAGGGTTGTTAATGGGGGAGAGGATAGCAATATACATCACCTTGAGCTCACTGAAAGAAAGGAAAGATGCAAGAGTAATATCATTTGGTCAGTAGATGGGACTGAATTCCCTTTTGCTCCAAATTAGAATACTGACTTGGTTGCTGTCAAGGTTCAGGATTACAAAATTGCCAACTTAAATGTTGGTGAATCTCATATAAACTGGCTGTAATCAAATCATTCAATTTAGGTACAGTGTGAACTCATAGTTTAGTGTTGTTATCACCAAGCTTTGGACTTGTGTGTTCTCTTCTTATTATTAGGTATCACTGCAGAGAGAAATTTGTAACTTTCTGTTTCACAGTAACTGTTACTACCTGCTATTCCAAGATCATATGTATCAACTACGGTGGGTTCCTAGTGGTTCCCCACCTTGGGTAGCAACTGTTCTTGGACTATAACTCCCGGAAACTCCAGCTAGCACAACTAGTGGGGAAACCTTTGGGAATTGCAATCCAAGAACACCCGGGTTAACTACAACCCAAAGTGGACTGCTTCGGCCAAACCGTAGTTAAGAGCCTTACCACATTTTTTCCGGTTCACACATGGGCATAAACTACTGTCCATTAAAAACTGATGGAGAAGTTTTCAGACTCTCCTGAGGAGAGGGGAGCACACGAGTGGATAGTTCATTCAGCTACTTACTGCCTGGCTGTGTTTTAGTGCTAGATTCAAATGAAGCCACTGAATGCATTCACACATAATTTAAAATCAAGAGGTAGCACTACATTCACAATCCTCTGTAAGCTGAGCAATACCTTAACCTCCTGCATTCTCCTCTTCTACTAGGGAAAAGACTCCTGCTGAGCTTAATGTCGCCTTTCTCAATTCTTTGTTTGGCATTACATGCAAACCAGGAATTTTGCTTTAAAACTCTAGCCAATTGTAGAACTGTTGTTGAAATTCAATTTAACAAATAAAATTTGTCTCAAACTAGAATTCCTGGTGTGTATGGAAAGATCAACCAGCATTTGCAAAAGCCAATTCTCTAGTACTTTTCTTGATTTCTGGGGTGGAGTGGGTGGCAGTGAGGCTGAAACTTCATAACCCAGCCTGTTATGTCTTTCTGTCTGGACGTCAAATAATTTTAGACATTAGCTGCTCTTTTGAGGTTTGGTCATTTATAAAACAAATGAAAATGTTAAGAATTTTAGTTGGATTGCTTTTGCAATTGTTGTTTAGTTATCAGCAGCATAAGAGACAAATTCAACATAAATAAATCAGAAGATACATGTATATATTTTATTCTATTGAGGTGTTACTTCTGTTACCTTTTATAGAAAATGAAATAAATATTTTGACAGAAGATATTAACATTTTGAGTCTCATAGAACTTCTTGAGTTTTCTAATCCTGTCAGGCAACAAGAGCAATTTATACTAGTACCTCTGCCACCTTACTTTTTGTTAATGAAGTGCATTTCTTTAGTCAATCAAGTTGTTCCTTAATAAGCATTCCCTTTGTAGTTTCAGGAAGAATCCTTGATAGATGACTCGCTGCTTCAAGATGATGATGAAGATGACGACGACAACGAATCGCGTTCTTGGCGAAGATGATTCAGCTTATTACTGACAATGCTAGAACTGTACCTATGTTGCATTAGCATTTCCTAATGTACTTTTGCATATTTGTACTACAAGAAGTTTGGGTGAAAGTGCTGAGTTTCAGATAAGACACGAACAGCTGATTGATCTTGTATTTTGAGTGATTGATGTTCAAGTTGCATTTACATTTCGGTAAATGATTGCTAAAGACATCACATTAGGAACATATGCAATGTTTTTATTACTTCTAAGGAAACATTATGGAATTCTTTGGGTTCTTTGTAATTTAAAGAATTGGTCACATAGCAAAATGACCAAGAGTTGTTACAACATAGACTTTCTTTGTTTTATTCCAAGTATGGAATGGATTTGCATTTAAGATCCTTGTGAATGTTTTCAGAAATGATAGATAACAGTACTAAACTGAAGTCTCTCTAAAGTTATGTATTCATAATATTGCATAGTAGTATGCTTAGGCTTTACTACGTACTAGCCTTTTGTTGGATTTGTGTACGTATTTTACGTATGAGTTTTAATGATACAGTGTATGACCGCTTTGCATATATCTCCTTATCACCTTAAGATGTTTAAAAAAATAAAGAAATGGAATGGTCTTGGGGGGAAAAAAAGAAAAAAAAAAGCAATAATGAAGTTCCTATGGCCCATGATGAAAAAAGAAAAATTAAAAAAAGAAAAAAAAAGAGAAAGACCATTCCAAGTGGTGATCCCCACCCCACCCATATTCAAAAAAAGAGCTGAATCACTGACATCCTTTCATCTTCATTAACTAAAATAATATAGAACATAGGTCATTGAAAGCATGCTTAGGTTACACATATACCATATACTCAAAACCTTTTGCAGCACACTACAAGTTGCAGATCTGGCTCCTGAATGTCAGAATGAGACTTTCAGTTAGCATTCTTGCTTCATTAATGGGGCACTCTCACATCTGGGGAACCGGTGAGTTCTTCTTCCTTGTAGGGCAAAGGCTTGAGTTTTAAGATCCACAGCAAAATGAATTGAAATTCTGGTAAGTATAAACTTTACATATTATTTATTAATTTTTTAAAACTACAAAGAATCAAAAGTAGAGATCTGTGTCTTAATGGACCTTGGTTTCAAAAGGATGCAAGTGGCAGGGAAAGCAAGCAAAAGCATGACAATTCTGCAGCTAGGTTCCGTCGTTGCCCCTCTAAAGCTACCTTGCAACTGCAATTTCACAACAGATTATAGTGTCTATCTTGCTCTTGCATTCTTCTTCCATTCTCCCTCCCCCAAATTTTAAATGTAATATTTAAAGAGACAAAATGGCTACCTGTGGAAGTCTGACATTTGTTGTAATTATGTTCACATTTCAAATTATATCCAATTTAAATTTTTTAGACCAGTTGAACATGGAATTGACGGCTGTTCTTATACCATGTGAGGGTGAGAGGATGAGGAGGGAGGGAGAAATCACCTAGTACTAGAAGTAGGTTCTCAGAGAAATTAGATAAAGCAGATAAATTAAATTTCAGAGCAGAAAATGTTGCTTCCTCCTTCTCCCTGCTGCCATCCAACATTTCTTACATTGTTCAAGAGGAACCTGTGACCTACAGAGAAACCTCTCATAGGTAATGGTGGTTTCAGCAGTAAGAAGGTGATGGGAAACATGAACTTTTGTAACTTAACGGAGGTTCCAAATATTTTTATTTTACACTGGAGATGTACCAAAGGCTGTGGTCTTGAAGTCACATGGTACAACATGTTGAAGTTCAACTGATACGGATTTGATTAGTGAGAGGCTTCCCAGAAAACCTTATATATGCCTTCCTGGGCATAACTACGATAAACTATTATTTAAATAAATAATATTTATAATCTATTTCTCTAGTTATTGAGTAATCAGTGTAGATACCACTGCTTTGAAATGTGGACTGATGTCTAGTAAACGTTTTGCAGAGGAGCTTTAGTTAAATGCCTATATTTTATACAAAATAAACTAATCTTAAGAATTTGTTGTAAAGTTCTGAGTAAATCATTGACCGAGTTAATAGAAATATACATTTTAGTACTGTACTTCTGTTTTGATTAGAGTCCAGAGGAAACTGTGATGTCTTACTGGATTATCTGTTCCTCTGAAGCCTTTTGTGTAAGATGGCATTCTTACAGAGCTCACAATTTATCTACGTATTAATTTTAGCCCATGCGTCAGCAATAACGTACACATTTAGATACTATCCAGTTAGCATCTAGGAAAGCCTGTTGTTTTTATTATTCTGCCAAAAATTAAAAATAATTTTACTACAGGCCTGTAGTTCATCAGATATTAGAAGAAGCAGGAAGTGTGTCAAATTCTTTTCACCATTCCAAGGGGCAGTGCAGTTAAGCACTTTACCAAGTGATGGATTTGATAAGGCCCACAACAGAATATCACATATGAATATTTTGAAATAAATAGGAGTTTTCTTGCCACATTTTGTAATGATATGTAACCTCTCTTTCTTATTCCATCAGGTGACACAACAATAATGGTGCATTCCGATGTAAAGATTATTCCAGTGTTTTTGAGTCTCATCTGAGCCGTGATGGAAAAGTTAAGAGTGTACCATATATACTCTAGTCGCATCATCTGCTGGACCAGGTTTCACTGAAGGATCACAGATTATATTCTAAAACTACTACACATGGAAATACATCTACTGTAATATTTTGCTCATGGAAAATAATGTATGAAGGTAGTCTTATATTTTAATTAATCAGGTGTGTATGATTACTAAGTATGTTAATTTTCTGGAAGATTCCTTGGGATAATGAAATGAAAAGTAAATTAGAACTTTTCCTCTTAGTGTATGTTCCATTTGTAAGCCAAGCAGTAGGGGAATACATAGTGAAAACTTTCATTTTTCTTTTGGATCTTTCAGGGAGACTTCCTTGCTTTTTATACCTTTTGTGCATCAGTCCTTCCATTAAACATGAAGGCGATGGCCTCTTTTTTGTAGTTTCATTTCATTTTCCCCCATTCATGTTTTCTGGCACTAGTCCACAAAAGCCATAAAGAATCCATCAATGCTATCTGGAAAAAAAAGAAGGGGCGAGACACCAGAGAGTCAATCTAATCCAAAATCCAGCAACAGTAAAACTAGCAGCCCCCACCAAACAAAACAGTCCAAAAATATTCCACCGAAATATATACATTTAAAATAATAAATACACAGTAGCAACATAGCAATGTCAGAAAAATTAGTCTAATAGGAAAAAAGTAGCAATATGAAACAAGATAAACAAGGAGACAAAGGCAAAAAATCAAAACAAATAGAAAATAGGGAAACTTCTTTCTGCTGCCACTTACCTTCTCTTCTCCAATGCAGCAGAAGGCATGCAGCAAGACAATCCAAGGAAGAAAACGATCCCAAAGCCAAAGAAATTGGAGAGTGGGGTATAATAATTCCAAGAAAGAAAATGATCCCAATGAGGCATGCTGCCAATCCTTGATTTAAAAAAAAAAAATCAAAGGAAAAATGAAGGACCCTAGAGACAACCAGGCAGCACAAGATGGAAGGCACCAAGATCAAAAGGGGGGGGGGGAATCCCGGTGGTTTCCAATCAATCCAGCTTCAAAACAGTTCAAAATTCCTGCTTCCCCCATTGGGCATTTGAATTGGCTGCTAACAGAAGCCCTAATGGCACTGTTCAATGAAAAATGTCCAGGGTAGTTCAACAGACAGACTGAAAAAAAAGTTACACGAAAGAGAGAGAGAAAAAAAGAAAACTTCATATTTCTCTCTTGTTTACACCTGTTCAAGATGCTGTCTTTTGGAAATCAACCAAAGAACATGAAAATGTGGGGAAAGAGCCTCTTTTCCTTTGATTAAAGCACCCTAACAAGGGATACTTAGTGCAGCATTTGTTTGGGAACTTGATCATAAGTTAAACAGTCATTGCTAACTCATCTGTTTTATTAAATTGGTCTGGACCCAAAGATTTGGACTCTAATATATATTACTTGAAGGAAGATCACAAAAGAAGTTTTGAATCATTTGCTGCCTATTTTCCAATGTTCACATTGTCACGTCTCTCGCTGTACGTTCTCATCAGGCCTACAACTGAACATTTTTGAAAGAAATAGGTTTCATCCTATCACATTTTATTTTTCACCTGATAAATTACTTTATATTAAAAAAAAATCCCAAACTATTTCCTCTTCAAAATGTGTTACCAAATGTTTCTTATGATGGAATTTGATGTGAGACCCTCAGAACATCAAAATGACATGATGCAAAGGAATGAGAGGATTGGATTGATATTCTGTGTTGGTAAGTATAGAAGTGGATCGTTTCCAAAGATCTGGAGGCTACATATGCTCAGCTGTGGACCTTTGAGGGTCACCACCATGACTGTATCCTCCAAATCCATTTCTTGCAAAAAAGACTGATTTTTTTACAATGGAAAAGCGCCCTTATGCCCTCTAGTGCCCAAAACATGCAAACAAATTGAAATGTTCGTTGGAGGGTCCGGCGAGTGCTAAGGGCCCTCAAAATGTGGCAAAAATGTCCACCATTCTCCCTAAGGAACACAAGGGGACATGTTGTGCAAAATAGTCTGAAAATATTTTAAATGGAGTGGGAGGAGAATGTGCTAAGATGGGCATTTGGAGCTCTTGGGAGATTGTATGCAGTATGTAAACGACATAACCTACCTTGGATTAGAGAGATGGAAATGGATTCTGTTTTAAATTGTTTCAATATATTTAAGTAAAATATCATTTGACAGTACCTCATTATGATCTTCATGTTAGCTAATCCGTAAAAGTAGCCTGCTGTTTGTTTCATAATGCTTTATACTGCGAAAACTCTTGTACTTTCCTTCAGCCTCTTCTCTCATGTTAGACTTCTAGAGTCATCTTTTGTCACAGAATTTGCATAGAACTATTCATACATAGCTATTTTACAACAGCAGTTACAGTTCTTCAGATGACAAATATCCCCAGTTTTCAAACATGTGCCATCTGCAGAAGCGGATATAAAACAAACCAAAAAGAATGCCCTAATAGATTCTTTACTGGCATTTTGCAAGTAAACTTATTTTCTGACCCAGCCAATGTAATGTAAGGTCCAAAACAATATTTCCTCTAAGTTGCATGTGTGCACACTTACTCAGAGGTCCACCAGGGCTGCGCACGAGAAGCTGGCAGCTGGTTTGTTTACTTCCTGGTTCTGTTGAAGCCCCGCCCACCCCCACACACATGGAGGGAGGCTCTCGTATGGTGGGACAGAAAATTAGAGGGGACATTGGTGATAAATAAACAAAAAATGTCCCAGGCCATTTTATGGGGAAACAGTGCTGTGAAGCAGCCGGAATAATACCTTCTGATAGTAATATGGTCTCACCATAATAAACTGGAATTCTCCATGGATCCAGGAATTAGGGGAAGTGTACAAAACATTGGCATTCCCATAACTTCAGAAGCTACACCAGAACTCCTTGCATGCATTTTTTAAAAATGTCCTTGTGGATAACGGTTAATAAGTTAAAAGGTTTAAGCAAAAGTAGGAGATGCTGTTCTGGGAGGTGTATTTCCCTCAGAAAAAGCTAAACTTGTTGGCATTTTTAA